TCAGTTTCAGATCCATTTAATAACTAGTTTTCGAAATGGTGCACATGAGAGCATTTTGCATGGTATAACAGTATAAAATGTACTTGAATAGGATTTTTAACTCCTAAGCACTGTTTCTCTCAGTATGATTCTGTATTTTTAAATGGGGTCAATGCTGTGTTAAGTTGTCACTTCTGATTAAAGGAAACAGAGTTTTATGTTGCAATTATACTTTGCCTTTCCTGATTTGGTGCTGCAGTGAAAATTGATTGGTTGCTTACTTGTCAGGGTTGTTTGTAAATTTATGGTGCCAGGTTCTGCTTTATTGATTTTGTTTTTGTTTTTTAATAACAGATGGACATACAATCTAGGCTTCTGATTTTCAATCAAAACGTAAAAAACTAATTCAGAGATTTTCAGGAACTTCATTTTTTAAAAAGATATTAGGGAGGCTAAATGTATTGACATCACAGCATATAAAATTGTGTAAAACAATGCTCAGAACACTGGTAATTTTTCTCATGTATGTTAACATGCAAGTTATATGAATTGAAATACTAGTTTTTGTTGTTATCCATATACTAACAAGAATCATTATCTATAAACCATGACTGGCTGTGAACCATCTTCATGTTGCAAAAACTTTGTGTCAGAAAGGAGCACAGAGTCTGGTAGTAGGGGGGTGAGTATGGTCCATTCCAAGATGCAGATTAATTTCGTTCAGAGGAAATTGATCATATAAGTACGGAAACTCATTGACTGATTTCCTCAGTAGATGATACACTACTGGAAGAAAGCAGCAATGACTTGAAATGACTCCCTAAAAAAGTGAAAGAAGAAAATACAAAAGTAGAACTGTAGCTGAATATTAAGAAAACTAAAATCATTCCACAGAAGAATTACATATGTTTATTGTTAATTATGAAAAAAATCAAAATTGTGAAAGATTTCACATCTTCGACCCTGTCTTCAGTTGAAAGCGACACTGTAGCTAAAAAGTTCAGAGATGACAGAGACTTGGAAGGGCAGCAATGAAGGAACTAGAAAGGATCATCAAGTGTAAATACTTTTTACTGGGGGCCAGAGTCAAGATCATCCAGACTATTGTATTCCTTATCACAATACATGAGTGTGAAAAGCTGGACAGTGAAGAAAGCTGGCAGGAAGGAAACGGAAGTGTTTGAAACATCGTGCTTGAGGGGAGCTCTGTGAAGACCCGGGACTGACAGAAAGATGAACAAGTGGGTCCTAGATCAAGCCAGACCTTTCCTTAGAAGAAAAAATGACCAAACTGAGGCTGTCATACTTTGGACACATCATGAGAAGGCAAGACTCCTTGGAGAAGACAATCATGTTCGGGTAAGCCTGATATAGAAGATGAAAGGGAAGACCCAATAGGAGATGGATTGATTCCAGAAAGGAAGCCACAGTCTTGAACTTGCAAGAGCTGAATGGAGCTGTCATGGACAGGACATTTTGCAGGACTTTCATTCATAGGGTTGTCATAAGCCGGAAATGTCTTGACAGCACCTAACAACAAAATTAAACTTTTTTTCTGCAGTACTTTTCCTTTGACTATTTTCCCTCTCTTAACAAAAGAAAAATACCACCTTGTCCTAAGATTTAAAAAAAAAGCATTTCTGCAACAGAGTATTGTTGATAATAAGTATTAAAATAAACAATTGAAGTTGCTGCATTAAAAAAATAACTAGATTGGAACCCAAAATCTAAATTTAATGTGTTAAGAGCTTCTGAACATTGTCGTTCTCATATAGGGTTTTTGTTTGTTTGAGCCATTTGAGTGCTGTACTTTTGTATCTCTGTCATTCACATTTACTGAGCTATTTGTATAATGCCATGACCTATTTCATTTCCTCCTGCATTGATACTGTGGCAAAATAATTTGTTAGTATGGCAGAATAGCTTGTTATTTGAGAAGAAGCTGTGGATGAAGAAAGCAAATCAGTATAAGCAAACAAGCTGGGTTTGTTTTTGCTTTTTATGAGAGAAAATGCAGAGGATCCCTAACAGAAAGGTTGGTATAAATTAGTTTGCCCTGTGCAAACATAGCCTGGAGACAGCAGGGGCTCATTAAAGCAGAGGACTAGGAGCATTTCCTTCACTAATCTGTTCTGAAGTATGATAGCAGACCTGTGGCAGTTGCAGCTCTCTTAACATGAAAATGCCTGCTGAGCTTGTGCCATTATGCCAAATACCATGCAGGTCCATGGTGAACTGTCCTAGAAAAAGGATGTTTTCCTTACTAATCAAAAACAGCCTGATCTGATTCATTATTCTGCTTCCTTTGAGAAACTGAAGGCCCCTGTGAAATTTCTGAAGTCTCAGCTTTATTTACATCCTGCTTGTATGTTTTTGTTCAGTGCCCCTGAGGAGGAAAGCAAACTGACAGCTTCGTAATGTGTGGAAATACCTTATTACAGCTGACCCCAGATGTGCACTTTGTTTTCCTTTAGAAAGAAAGAAATGCAACTGAATGAAGCACTTGACACAATGACATTCCCAAGCTCCATTAGGTGTGTGGGAGGCCTGCCACTGTTAAACCAGCATATGCTCATCTAGAACCTACTGCTCCTGAAGCACAGGCCAGAGAGCTGCTTTCGGGGAAAAAAGGCACAGGTCCTGTTAACTCATGACAAGGGCACTCTCCCTTGAGGCAGATCGTAACACCTAGGCTCTGGATGTATAACTTGGCAAGACCTGAGAGGTCACTGATGAAGAAACAATTGGTTGGCCAGTAACTGTAGTACCTCTTTTATGTCATTGTCTCATATTTTAAAACCAGGTGAGCTCAAGTGATAGAGGACCTTCAGGTATTACCAGGCTTCAAACAAGTCAGTGACCATCAAGCAGATACCCTGCAGTGGCATTTCAGTTAGTACATCCTGGTTAATATTGATCTTAAAATTGTAGGACATTGTGCATGCATCAGTTTTGTGACCCCAGCCAAAGAATTTTAATAGTTGGACATCAAATAAAAACTTGGTCAAGCACCCCCCGCTCCGCACGCGCACACAGAAATGCAGTCATTGCTTTTAAAAATATATCTTTTTATTTATTAGATTTATGTCCCATCTTTTTTCTTACAAAGAAATCAAAGCAGCTTAACATAATACTCCTCTTCCCATTCTCAAGCTTATTCTCGCCCTGTGAGGTAGGTTGAGCTGAAAATTTTTGACAGACCCAAAACCACCTAGTTGGCTCCATCCTCAAGAAATATACATAACAAAAACATAAGCACAAATTATATGAAATAAGACTTTGTGCACACACTATATGTGCACACTGTAAAGCTAATATATATATAGCAGGAAGTAGCTGTATCAAAAATTCTTTTACTATTCCTTGAAGTTTGGCTAGATGAGAGGAAAAGATTCAAGTTCATACAGTAAATGACTGAAATTGGTGATTAGGTAAAGAAATTCAGAATTATGAAGCATTTGTGTGGTACAGAAGCACATTTCTATCTTTTGCAGAAAAACATTCCTTGACTGAAAGGTACTGACTGATGCCCTGTGGGCAGGAATGGCATCACATTTACTAAATACTTTACAAAATGAATTAGTGCACAAATTGTTCAAAATAAACATCAAATAGCAGAAGTTCTGTGACTGTTGCATTAGGCAATCGATATCCATGTCATAATGCAATTAGGTGTTTGGCAGTGGTGGTAAAGCCTTAGGCAGTCACAGTTAAGCTGCCCTAGTATCACAAACCCTCTTAAGTAGTTAGAACAGTTTCTGGCTGCTAATAGCTGAACTGTTTTGATTCTGGAAAGAAAAGTGCAGCAGACAAAAACCAGAATTCTTGGAAAGGAGGAACTAGAAGGCTGAGAAGGCAGCAGGCAAAGGAAAACTAGGGGGTAGAGAAGAGAGCTGGCATGAGCCTTAGCATCTATTTTGGCGTCACACATTAAACCTGGAGCATATGAAGTGAAACTTGTGACCCGAACAAGTTCAGGTTGTATCTTTCTCACTACTGAGTAAAAACCTCTTGGTCTAAGGATGCTGTTAACTATAAAGGCTTGAACCCTGTCATTACTTTTCCTTGAAATTAAGTACTGGCTCAATGAAGTGCACCAGAGCAGGGAGGGAAAGGCCACTGAGGGAGGGAGGAGTTATATGAGGTCGCAAGCTTGAGATGGGAAGAGAGCTGACATCCATAACAATTTGGAAAATAGAACCACTACTAAATCTTTGTCTGCAAGCCATATCTTAAATGTTTATTGTCTGAGATATTTGGAAGCACCTGTGAAACTATTTTGGTTTGAATACTGCCCCATCCCTTCCAAAGAAACTGCATTTATTAATAAACTATAAACAGGCATTTATATCAAACTATATAAATATAAATATTATAAATAAAAATAAATACATAGTTCCATGCATTCCATACTTTGGTTTCTTGACTTACTCCCCATTGCTTCTTCCTTCAAGTTGAAATATATGTTACTTCAAATCCATGTCTAGTTACTGTTTTTATTCTGGAATAGGTGCACAGTCACACTGAGAATGTAAAAGTCTTCTGCTCTCGGGTCCTAATCTGGATTGAACCCCCTGTACCTACACAAGAATATAAATGGGAAAAAAGACTTAGCTGCTAAATACAGTTTTAAAGCAATGTTTCTTTTGGTCCTTGGGGTCTGTTCTCTGGGGAACCCTGGTACTGTGGCTCATTATTATGTTATTTTGCTGTTATTTAAGGTTTTGTTTCTGCCCTCTACAAGTTGTGGCGAACTACTGAACTGTTCACTGCATTGATCTCCACCCCCATCTTTAGGGAAACATGTTGTAGTTGAAATACATAGTCTTGATTTGGTTGGAAAGCATTACATACCTGCTGTGCATTCCATACTACTTGCAGTAGCAAAATTTTCTCACCCTCATGTATATTTTTTTAAAGTATTCTAGGAAGAATTATTTTCTGCCGGAGAACACTTGGATAACCTGTCATTAGGTATTCAATTGGTGTGATTTACTTTTAATCTCTTCTTTTCCTTGCAGGTTTTGCATGCAGAAGAGTGTGAGACTGGTACCAGGAGTCACACTGGATTTAATAGAGAAGTAAGCATGATTTTTGAGTCCTTAAAACCATTGCTTTTTGCCTAGCTATCTTTTTTCTTAAATAAGGATGTGGCAGGGCAAGTAAGCTTCTACGTAATTAGGAATTTTCCCTTCTTGAATGGTTTTGTTTTGTCTGGGGTATGTACCTCAGTAGAATGATTTGCTCACCTATGCAAAATTGAAAGAAACTGTTTTTCACAACTGCTGTGGCAAAGTGACACAAGGAAGCAGCTAGTAGTGTGGTTGCTTTTCAATGCAACAGCGAAAGAGCAAGAGTGTTCTTGTAGTCCAGCTTTCCCCAGCTTCCTACCCACCAGGTGTGTTGTGTTGCTGCTCCCATCATCCATCAGCAATGGCCTTGCTGGCTAAAAGAGTTGTGGTCTAACACATCTGGAAGGTGCCAAGTCGGCAAAGGCTAGTTTAGTCAAAGGACTGACATCTGAATTATTTTCTGTAAGGAAAGGAACCCAAATCAGAGCAGCATATTCTAAGACCATGTAAAGTAGTGGAGCAAGAAATAAACAGGCAGTGTGTTTTTCTGCTGCAAGGCAATCCTTGCAATCACCTGGTGGTGGTGGTGGTGTGGTGTGGTACAGTGTAGTGATATGATTTGTATGCATCTTCGTTTAGCTTTGATATGATATCTTGGAATGCATCTTTGTATGCTTCAAGCTATCATTCCACTTATAAACAAGTGCAAGTTCAACATGCCTAATTTTGAGACTTGCGGAATTCATTTTCTCCCCTGCTCTGAACATATGTTCAGGCATTCACAAGTCTGGAATGTACATAGGTTTTCACTTAAGTTCCATAAGAATTTGGATGTTGGCAGGAAACAAATGTGGAAGGCCAAAAGAAGTGTGGGAGGGCATGAGATTGGATACAATTGCCAGCCATAGCATGGGAACTGGTAGAGTAGCAACCAACTAGAAAGAGAGCCCTTTAGATCAAAAGAATTTAAGTAACTCTGGTAGGGTCAATCCCTGATACAATAGAATTTATTCAACAATATACTTCAAGGGCAAAGCTGATCATTCATCTTTGAGTGCCTTCTTCCACTCTGCAAAATTAGATAGGCCAAGCACTTATGGAAACGTTTAGCTAAAACCACTGAGAGGCTTCTATATAGGCATAAAGCTCTTGTTTTGTTTCCCCAACCCCCAAGTGCTGCCACTCTGATTGGTGTATATACTATATATACTAGTTATAAAACAACCCTTGAAACCAGAAATAGGCAAAAATCAAGAGTAATTTTTTCCACCACATTATATTGATCATTAAGAAAGAATAAATAGTAAAGTTAATTTTTATTAATACTCATTAAAAAAAAAACATTTTACTGGTTCTGGAGGGACTCATCTTGTGTTGTGTCACAAGCTTTGTGCATGGCCAAGGGCCCGGTCCCATGCCTGCCCCACCCTCATGGGAGGAGGCAGTGTACTGTTTTGGGCCAGTTGCGGCAGCTGGGAAGGGGAGCATTCCTTGTGCTGCTGTCTGTGCAGAGATGCAGTGCTGCCTGCGTGGGCCTCTTCCCTCTTGCCCAGCCCCCTGCTGGTTGCTCCCTGCATAGTGCTGGTGCCAGCCGTCCTCCCTGACCAACCCCAGCCAGGCAGCTCTCTTGCAGGGTGCCGTTGACTTCCAAATTGGAGAGGTAATGTGACTATTAGCTAGAATATGATAGCACGATGTCACAAAAGTCTAGAAACTTCTGGATGATAAGTACCTGTATATACCAATGGATAAGAGCCCCTTGAAACTGAAAATAGCAAACCAAAAATTGGGGGTCATCTAATACATCTGACATATGACAAACACCTGAAAAACAGCCCAAAATATTGACCTTGTCTTATACATGGGTTGTTTTATACGCTGGTATATACAGTATGTTCTCTTGAAAAAGGCCTGAGGTGTGGATGCGTCACAGTTTCATACAAGTGCCATCTTACCTTCAGCTGTGTGTTTCCTGATTGACTTTATATTCTAATATATCTTTAACTGCAGCTTTCACTTCCCTAGCTCCACAGCACTTGATAAGCAGGACATGTTCAGCTTCCCAATACCTCCATCCTTTCTCCTTTAGGGTCCTCTGTTTCTGGGACCCACTCCCACTGCAGCTATGTTGATACTGCCTCTCTCTTTTCAAACCAACATTTTCTGTCGAGCCTTTGGCTCAGTTCTCGAATCATCATCCCATATGAAACTAAGCCTGAATACTTGTAACTGAACCAATCATGCAGTTTTCCTTTATTTACCTTGCTTGTATTCCTTTCCTAGTTCTGTTGCTTCTCTCTGTGCAGAATTTTAGCATGTAAGCACCTCAGGGCAGAAGTCTGTCTTTTTTATTGTTATTTGTAAGGGTCCATCATTTTTGGTTGCATGAAAGAGGAGTGGAATTATGCTGTTTCAGGGAAGAGGTATGCTGATTTCAGCCACTGCTTAGCAGAGATATGTGCGATTGAACAATAGCTGAAGATGCACCTGCTGCTCTCTTCTTTTCACAGAATAGGAAAGGGGCCTTGGGGGGCCGCTGGTTGGACTCTGGGTAATCAAGGCAGTAGGGCAGCTTGTCCATACAGTGGCCACACCATTTCTATTCTTTGTTCCAACTTGGAACTATGGCAGGAATCACTGCACAGCTGCCAATGCAGCCCTCACCTACCTTTGCAGCTTTCAAGGAAGCTCACGAATGGAGGCACCACTCTCACTCTGGCAAGTGTAACTGTTGAAGCCTGTTTACTTAGTACACCTTAATGCACACACACTGACAGACAGACAGACTGACCGACCCCTTAGGAATACTGTGGGAGGTGGGGAGGATGTATTGACAGAAATGTCCTTGCTTGCTGTTCTGCTGTGGAGGTTTCTGCTGAATGAAAGAGCTGACAGACACCAACTTGAATCAACTTGATGTGTGCATATATATAAAAAGTATATAAATAAAGTGACAATCTCAGAATTGTTTGTTAATATGCAAAGATCAAAAAGTAGATACTGTACAACTCTAAATGTATCTTTAGATATATTTACTGGGAAGGATAGCACAATATAACATTGTAAACATCAGTAACTAGAGACTGGGTTTGCACAATTGCCTTAACTCCTATTTTGGCTTATTTAAGCCTTGATGAGTGCCAACCTGAATATTCAGGCTGAACCATGACTTGTCATATCATTTGAACTCAGGGACTGGGGATTATGCAAGGGTTAAACAACCCTCACAGAACCCATGGCCAGTTCCAAAGTTCAAATGATACAAACTGCATTCACATGCAACACACTGTGGCTTAAATATCCCGCAGTTGGCTGTTTCAGTGTGCAGACTAGCCCTGTGTCTTTCAAAGGTGTTATTCCTGGGAAGCATGTAGGTTTTTATTCAAAACTGGTTGTGGAGGTTAAGAAAATTAAGTCTGGATGATTATTGTTTATATATTATTATTTTTCCTAAAATACAGAATGCAGAGAGTATATGTTAACATCATGGAATTTGTACAAGATATTAAAAATATCAAGGGATTTGTGAAATACTCAGTTTTTCAAGCTCCTAGGGAGCTTGTACCACATGTACTTCAGAAATAGTTCAGTAGTGCAGAAAGTAATAATACTGAATCTCTTTCTCTGAGTCTTTTTAAGTCTAGCAAAATAAGCAACATTTTATGTTTGACAAAATAACCAATTAACCAGAAATGCCTGGAAGGTGTTAATAGTGAGATGGTGCAGTGAAGGTGCTTTATTAAAGCTTAGATTGTGATGAGTGACAATTGATATTGCAGCATGTCTGCAGCTGAATATGCATTCTGCCCTTCATGCAGCAGTGGAGTAGGCATTGCTGCAGGCCTGATGAAGTGCACCGGCACAGATGATAGGTGGGTTGCATCGCTGCAGCACTGCAGAAAGAAAGTTTGCAGCTGTTTGTTTAAGCAATGACTCTCATCAGGCACTGCAATAAGTCTCTTTCATGGTCTAAACTTCCCTCTGCATCTTTGATATCTTGTTTTTCACTTCTTCTTTTTAAAGATAAGATGGTTTATTATTTTGTATGAGTTACCAGCACAGCTTTTAGCCTTTGTTTACCTTCTATACGAGTTGCATATATGCATTCCTGTAGGGACATGATAAGAACAGGTAAGATTCCCTCCCCCACCCAAAATCCCCCAAAAGTTTAGTTGATGCAATCGAAACCTAAATACTGAGAGGTTAAACTGTGAACCTTCACACTATATATTTTTGTAATGTCCCTAAAGGACATAAAGGTCACAGATCATTTCTGAGATTTCTGATGCATATGATTATGCTTTTGGAATGTTTAACCTTCTTTCCTTAGAATATTGTTTTGTATCTAAGTACAGTGGTGCAGTAATTTGATTTCTGGGTTGTCTTTTCTTTAGAAGCATTCCTAAGTTTTCTGAGGACCACAGAAGTTACGGATTTATATTTTGATGTGGCTGTTCCCATTCTATCAGGCAAAAAATGGTGAAACAAAAAAGCTTAAATGTAGTATAATTGTAATGAATGCAGTGTAGGTGCACGGGTGTCATTGAAATACATTGACAAGAAATCTTGGTATACTGCAGTTGCTCTAATCTTCTTGTAATTCTCTTTAAACTTTATTATCATAAAAGTAATCGCACAGTTTGGCAACTACTGCAAATTAGCACAGTTGACTCAGAATTCCTACAGAAAACAGCTCTGACTGTGAAGTCTTAAACGCCAGGTCTTGGCAGTCAGCCATGGTCTTCCAAGGCTCAAAAGCTTTAGTGGGAAATAACTAAGTAGAGGTAGCAGGCAATTATAAATAGTTGCCATCGTTTTCTTGGCAATTTCTGCCACAGACATAGTGTTTCTGATTTTGCAATGCCTTCCCCCTCAGCATCTGATGCTGTCTTGTCATCACCCCCATACAAATAAAATTTCATGACAGAGTTATATAACTGAATAAACATGTTCTGATTGCAGATCTTAATTTCTCCTATCACATGATTTTGTGATTTCTCTTTGTGATT